CTGGAGAGCAGCTGTGCAGAGAGGGACCTGGGAGTTCTGGTGGACAGCAGGTTACCCATGAGCCAGCAAAGTGCCCTTGTGGCCAAGAAGGCCAATGGCATCCTGGGGTGCATTAAGAAGAGTGTGGCCAGCAGGTTGAGGGAGGTCATCCTCTCATGCTACTCTGCCCTGGTAAGGCCACACCTGGAGTACTGTGTCCAGTTCTGGGCCCCCCAGTTCAAGAACGACAGGGAGCTACTGGAGAGAATCCAATGGACGGCTAAGAAGATGATGAGGGGGCTGGAGCATCTCTCATATGAAGAAAGGCTGAGAGACCTGGGGCCCTTTAGCCTGGAGCAGAGAAGACTGAGAGGGGACCTTATCAATGCCTATAAATATCTAAAGGGTGGGTGTCAAGAGGATGGGGCCAGCCTCTTCTCAGTGGTGCCCAGTGACAGGACACGGGGCAGTGGGCACAAACAGGAGCACAGGAAGTTCTGCTTGAACATGAGGAGGAACTTCTTCACTCTGAGGGTGACAGAGCAGTGGAACAGGCTGCCCAGGGAGGTTATGGAGTCTCCTTCTCTGGAGATATTAAAAGCCGTCTGGACATGTCCCTGTGCAGCCTGCTCTAGGCTAACCTGCTTTGGCAGGGCACTTGGACCAGATGATCTCCAGAGGTCCCTTCCATCTCCTGACATTCTGTGATTTTGTGAGCGCAGCTGCAAGGTATCAGCCTTGTCAGGCAACTCGCACAACTTGCCTCGGTTAGTGTTTGACCCCATTTGGGTCTGGACTCGATGACTTAACAGTTGTATTATGCTTCTGTTTCTTTAGGAGATATTGAAAAAAAATATCACTTGGGTGTGAGTCCACTTTGTGACCGACAGACGGAAACCATCGCCAACATCCAGATTGGTAACTGCAGTTCAGTTTATTTCTGTAGCTTTCTTTCAGGATGCAATTTGGAAAATAAAAGTACCTTTTAGATACATTTCCTAGAGGTTGTAGCTGCTCTCTCTGTCTGTGTGGCAGCATTTCATTAGAAAGAGACATTTTTTTTCCAATTTGCTATATAACATTTCTCCCTTGAATCGAGTGTTTACGGAAGATGCTGCACCAACAGTGCTGGAGACTGAAGCCCCCCATGGCCTCACAGAGCAGGTACAGCATGGGAAGCAGCTGTCTGCCTGTGCTGCTGCCCAGAACTTTCCTTATCTGAAGTGGCTAGTTTGGGAAGATGAGTGTTCCTTCCCCCAGCCTTTTGCAGTGAGGTCACTACAACAGGGTTCCAGCTCTCTGGAATGTTTGTATTCCTTTTAAATGCAGCTGTAGGAAGAAGGGTGGGCAGAGATTTGATGGAGAACGGTGAATAGACAGTATATACAGTATCTGAATTTTTTTTTTTTGCTAACTTGAGTTGGATTAAAAAGACTAAAATTACTCTTTCTAGTTATTTTTAATAAAGTTGCTTAGGTAGATTGAATGGGACTTGGTTAAAAACATAGTAAAGGAAAGAATTAATTTAACCACAAACACAGTGGTTTAAATTAGAGACAAAAATGGAACTATTTAATCCGCTGCACTGTTTTAATTCAGAATGTTAGAAAATTACACATTTCTGTAATTGTCTGATTCAGTTTTGGTTGTCTTGCCATTGAATTTTTAGTTCACGGAGATAGATGCTATAAATAAGTGCACAGGTGCACACACCCAAACATGTATTTACAGGTTTGTGTGTTGTTTTATGGCCTTTTTGTTTAAGAATTTCTATTATTTGTATTTTTAAGTATTTTTAGTCAGCTTAATATTGTGAAAAGAATATATATTTTTTCCCCCCTGTTCATATAATATAGTTCAGACTCTCTATGGGGTAATTTGTTACAAAATCTTTTAGAAATAGATAATTTGTGTGACTTTTAGTTGCTGATGTTTAGATTTCTCCCGCCCTCACGTTCTCCAGTATTTTCCTTTACTTGGTTATTGTGAAAGAAAGGAGGTTAATTTGTCATCCAATATAATGCTGTTCCTTTGGCTGACTAGTAAAATCTTCTACATTTTGAGAGGTTATTTTGTAAAGATGCTCTAAATATTGAAATGACTTTTTAAATGCACATTGGAGAACAGCAGTCTGGTGCATTGCTTATTTTTTGCGAACTACATTATGTTTAAAAGATTTAGTTTATTAAATTTTTTTCTGTTTTTTTTTGGTTTGTTTTTTTTTTTTCTTGTTTGCTTGTTTTTGAAGGTTTTATGACCTACTTAGTGGAACCACTGTTTGGGGAATGGGCCCGGTTTTCAAACACCAGGCTGTCGCAGACAATGCTTGGCCACCTGGGTCTGAACAAGGCTAGCTGGAAGGGAGTGCAGAGGGACCAGTCTGGCAGCGGTGACGATGTTGACCCCGCTTTTGAGGAAATGGACTCTGACATATTACCTCAGGAACCTCGATTGTCCTGACCTCAGTCTTCATGACAAAACTGCCTTTTTTCTTGGTATCTGCATGGTTGGATTAAAGGAGACACTTGCCAGCCCAGGGTTTTGGTAAAACGGTAAAATGATGCCAGCATTATTTATTTCCAAGTTTTCCTTTGACACAGACCATTTGAACCAGAATTTTTTTAAACTCCAAGATCTGAACATAGAGCAATATGCATATGCCTCGGTTGGTTTTTGTTCGGAACCTTGAATATGCAAAGCACAGCAGTGACTGAGCCTTGGAGGAATAGTACGAAAGCTTCATTGTGCCACACGTCTTTGCTCTTTTGGTGAAATTTGGAATACGGTCTTCAAATCTAAGACTTGAGATGGGTTGTTCCACTTTCTTGGAATTTAGCAAGACTTGCGTAAATGTGTTCCAAGCATACCTTCCTCTCAGTCCCTGTTTTAATACGGAAATGTGAAGTGCCCATCCTCTGCTGCCTCTGGCAAGACTTGATGTTTACAAATGGACTCTGAAACTATCGGTTCTAGATTTAACCTTTGCGCATGGCTGTGAAGGAACCACTAACTTGGTTTATTTGCTTTTTTTTTAACAGAAGAAGATCAAATCTGAGACTGCAGCTCTTGTTTCTTTGGATGCCAGAAAAGCCTCCCATTTGCCAGAATTTTGTTTGTGCAGTGGGAACTGAGCATTCATCATAGAGCACAGTCAAGCTTTACTCCAGTGCTATATGGGAATGCAAGTTTTTTAACGGTAGAAAACACTTCTGAATTTGGGAAGGGAAGGGGTGGGGGGGTGGCGTCTGAACTGCATTGCGATTCTGCAGTGGAAACATCGCATGTTGTTTTCACTATTGTACACTTGAACTGCACATGCAAGAAAAAAGGTGGAATGTCTAAACACCATAATCAGCTCAGGGTATTTGCCAATCTGAAATAAAGTGAGATGGGAAGCGCGTCCTTCAGAACAAGGGTACAAATGCCCCTTTTGCTGCAGCGTGTGTGTATGTGTGGGTGTGTGAGTATGTTTGGGAGAGGGGAGGGTGGGAGGGTACTGGGAAGGGTTTGAACGGCAACATTTTATTTTTTTTTTAATTTATTCTTTTAGAATGTGACAATTTCATGAACAGCCACATTGGGGAGGAAACTGTAACAAATTGCTACAGATGCCTTAAACTATGCACAAAGCTAAGTGACCAAATTTGGTTTTGATTTGAAAAATAATTTTAAAAAAGTGCATTGTTTACGTATTCCTCCCTCTACTGAAACATTACCCACTAATGGGTTTTTGATGGGAAAAGGAGAAAATGTTTTTTAGAACAAAATTAAAGGACTAATTTTAAACTTAAAACATTCCATTTTTGTAATTTGTTTTACATCATTTTAAGTACAGTAAGCACAACTGTAATCTAGTTTGAGAAACTGGTGCTTTCTTTTAGTTCATTTGTATTTCCCTGTTATTATTGTAAAAGACTGTTTATTAATTCTGTTTACAGTTTGTTGCAACAGCCATTTTTGGGAGAGAGCTTCAGCGTAAAGCCATTTGTAAAGGCTTTGCCATATTCATTTTAATATGTGCCTGTTGCTGTTAACTTTTAATTAATAAAAAAAAAAAAATCTTTTCATGTTATGCTCCTGTACATTTAAGTCACAACAGAGTCCAGCATTGTGGAAAGGTAGCTAAGGTTGCAGTCAGCTTCCACTGTAAAACTCAAGCCAACTTTTGGATTTGAAAATAGTAGTCCTCATTTGCCAAAATCTGGTGCCTCTTCAAGCTTGGCCTTTTACTGTTTGAAAAGCAAATCCTGACTTACCTGATTGTTTCCCTTCTAAAATTAAGTTGTTTATTATTCTTTCCTGTTCCCTGAAGTAGTATCATTAATCTCAAAGTGGCCATGTTTAAAGAAATAAATTTATAATGAAACCATTTTTTTGAACCTGTGTGTGAATTTCCTTCCTTTGCTGTCAGTCCAAGTTCTTGATGTTGTCTGACTTCAACAGAGAAGGATCAAATGGGAAAATCAGCTTTGGCTATAGCTTGCAGTAACAGAAAAGCCTTATGTTAACAGGTTGTCTTTGCAAGGGTGATACTTGCCAGTGGTGTTTGGAGCTGTCAGAACAAAGAGTTGACATCTGGGTGTGAGTAAATTACTAGAGAGACTGCAGCCAAGTGTCCTTACAGCCCAGACAGATTTGTACGGTTAAGTGTGGAAAAGCACTGATTCCTCTTCAATGCTTTTGAATAAAACATATGCCAAGCCTGCAGCTATTCTTAAAACAACTGCTAAAATCAGTATCCAGTGATGTCTTCTGTGACTCACATTTTTTTAAAAATGTGACTTGGTTTAAAGACAGGGCCTCAACAACAATATATGTTTTGCTACTTGTAACAGCCCATTTACAAGCATATTTTAACAAGCAATTTTAATGAAAACTGAAATTAATTAATTTACAAATATGTATACAGCAATATTTCTTACAATATTTATAAACAACCTGTGTGCTTCTTTGTGCACTCTTGCTGTCATCTGCTCTGGCAGGAACCAGTACAGCTTGTCAAGGTGCTAGAGTAAAGCATGAGTAGTTTTGTTGTAAGCCACCTTTCCTGGGAAGGGGCTTCTGTCTTTTCCTACCAGACTACACATTTACAAAGACTTAGGAAGGTTCTAATCTATCTCATCTATTAGTGTATGTGGAAGCTTCTGACTGAATTTAAAAAAAAATAATAACTTACACCTTTTCTTGAACATACTGTCTAGAAATGCCTTCTACAAATCTGCCTTGAACTTCAACATTCCTACAGCTTCGGTGTTTCAGGTGGGAGCTGAGAGTGTACATGCACCCGGAGCATACCTCATGTGCTACAGCTGCGAGCAGCCAGTCAGTCCACGGGAGCCCAGAAACGTGTTACGGAATGGAGGCCAGGTCCCCACCATAAAATGTTTTAGTCTACAGCTCTGCTCCCAGTGGGCCGTGCTGTTTGCCTGTGGTTTTGTATTTCTGGGGTGCACCTCATGTCAGCAGTTCAAATGGACAATGTTTGGTGTGGGTTTTTCTCACGGTTTAGCCTAGTTTAATAGGTCAAGTGATAGCCCGAACTGTGCAAGTTAATGGTTTAATTGGACTGAGTTACTTCATGTGAACTCTTGACATTCACAATAATGTAAATGGAAACACTTTCAACAGAGGTTTTGTCTCTGAAAGACAGTGGGGATTTTAGCAGAGTTTTTCTGGGCCAGCTGTTCTGAAGCTGCGGCCTTTGGGGAGGGGAGTGGTTTGCAACACACCAAGGGATTGTTGGGGGAACTCAGTGTACCAGGGAATGGAGACTGTTAAACTTGAGTCCCTTCCTGTAATCTTTGTGGTGAGGCATAAACTTCTCACTTGTTCCTCATCTTTGGTTGGTTTTTTTTTTCTGTCTGAATGTAACTGAATTAACAGCGCTGTGCAACAGCTTCTACTGTTACTCTATATTGATATAGAATATATCTCTATATAGATATTCTACAGCTATATTCTGTACTGTTAGACTACAGCTACTTCTACTGTTATCCCTGCTGCACAGCAAGGGTAGTCCAGTCCTGAAGGAGATGCAAGTAAGCTGTCACTACACTGAATTACAGTCACTATAATAGAATGTATACTTTACGGTGGCTGCTAGCATTTGTAGAGTACCACAAATCACATAACGCAATGTTTATTTTAACTGCTTTTAATTTTATATAGAGGCAATAGAGCATTAAATACAAAACTTGAAACCAAAATTAACTGAAAAGGGTATTTTAAAGGCATTTAAAAGAACACAGATTTAATGGCCCAACAGTAAGACTGATGGCAGACCATTTTGGAAGGCAGTTAGGCTGTGTACATGTTAATACCATTTGAAGTTTCACACCAGAAAACAGCCTCCTTGATTGTACAATCTACATTCCAGTTATAAGCAGCAAAGTTTCAGTCATCCTCAGTAACCTCGTCAGAGCCATTCAGCTGTCTTTAAGTGCTGCTTTTTTTTTTCCCCTAGAAAACAGAAGCTCCAAGAGGCACTTGTATTTCTTCCAGCAGCCAGATCAACTTACAACACCAGAAATACCCAGATTCAGCTTTTTTTATGCTCCTCTACAGTCAGCGCAAACTGTGGCTTCATTTTATTTGACCCTGCTGCTATCTACTGGTTATTTCAAAATCATTGGACTACCTGTTCTCAGAGGCTTGCACAGCGTGATTTACCCACTTGTTATGCACTCTTTATGTTGGCCATAGGATGATACAAGTAGGTTTTGCTGTCTTACTCTTGCAAGGTCATTTGAAGCAAACAAACAAACAAAACCAAACCCTGCACAAAAATGTGCTACTACTTAAAATGTTCC